GGGAAAACCTTTAATTTTGTTAATCTTATAAGTTTGCAACAAACAGTAGTAGATTTAATTAAAAGCTTCTGAAATTGTTGCTCACAAATCAACTTTTGCATTTCAATTAGGGCCTATTTGGTTTTATGGATTTTCAGTGGGTGGATTTGGATTTGAAGAGCCCAAATTACTTTAAGTAATTGGACTAGTATTTGGGCTAAATTCACTCAGAATTTGACGAGCTAAAATTTTATGGATTTAGCTAACGAGGCTTAGCCCAATAAAAAAATGTCTTGATTTTGCAGACTAATTGTCTAAGGTTCATGTATCAGTGTGAGAAACATCATTTCCCTTATAATTTAGACTATTACTTGTATTATAAAAAAAAGATTATATATTTAAAATATAAAAATTATTTTGTAATGATTGACCTTATATTAATGTATATATTTTGATATAAAAAAATATGAATATAATTATTATCTTCCACATTATTAAAGTTTTTTATTGACTTAAAAATAAAACATACAGATTTTTTTCAGTATGTTTATAATTAATTTGTTTTATTTTGATTTTTCACGTGGCACCACATAAGTGAGTTCATATGGGCTCATTCATTGCCACGTCACAATTTAAAACACTTTCTAAGTGTAAAAGTTACGATGGATATAAAATTATAGTGAAATCAAAATTTAGGTGCGAATTTGACGCGACGAAAATCTTAGGTAATAAATGCTGAAACTCAGTAAATTTTCAGATAATAAAGTGAAATTTATCATAATTTTGAATTAATCTCTCCTAATATTTTCTGATCAAGGAAACGAGTGTTATTTACAAAATAAACTCACTTTTTTTTTTTGGCCGGACAGAAGAAACTGTATTTTGAAATTGAATGGAAGTGTTAGGTGAAGAAAAGTTGTTGTAATTGGATGATCACCTTGCCAATTTTGGAAGAGGAGGGTCAAACCCAACTCCTTACAACAAGTATCTCGAGAGCGACACAGAACAGACCTCATCTAAGTGGAGAGCCAAACCCAATAATTTTTCTAAAAGAAAAAGATGAACTCAAAGTTAACTTTGATTGCAGCAACACTAGCTGTAGTGTCCGTAGTGTTGGCTCTGAACCCACTTTATTTGTTGAAGCTTTTTGGTAATGGAGTAGCTCCTATTTCAGGGTCCCATGACCTCCTCCACACTGCACAATTAATCCAGGTACCCGGAGCCCTTGGCCCAGAGAGCCTTGCCTTCGACCCCAACGGCGGTGGGCCCTACACCGGCGTCGCGGACGGCCGTATTCTCAAGTGGGATCAAAACGACCGTCGTTGGACTGACTTTGCTGTCACCTCTTCTCAGAGGTAACCAACCTTCTTATTTATGTCTGTTTTGTGCTTGCAAGCATTTTGTTGAAGCATTGAATATTGTTTGCTTCATTCAGTAATTCTATATGTTGCTGGTGTTTGTGCTTTGCAAGTATTGAATTATATCAGCTGCTTATACTATTTTGTTTTTGTTTTTTATGTGACAATCAATTCAATAGACTGACCACTTCAAAATTTGATTTGGGTTCATGCATTTCTGGCCAAAATGTACTAATATGTGATCATTAGCAACCTGACCAAATGGATTGTAAAGGGTCTTTGAAATTTAGATTTTACCCAGTTCACGTTATCTTGCACTTGCACTAGAATTACTACCATTGAATTCGAATGATCAAATTAGGCTCTATTGTGCACCTTGTGGCAAGAAGCACACTTGTGGAGTTCATCAGTGTAACTAATGGATGGGACCAAATTGCAGAAAAGCTCTCTTCACAATTCTTGCAGCAACTTTTTCGTTTTCTTTTCTTCTGATGAATCTCATACAAACAGATTGTCTCTAGCTTAAGAGGATTTTGGTTGGTTTTCGACTAAGCACCCATAAATCAAAACTCAATTAAGCAGAGCTCAAGCTGACAAAAAATGTGTGAAGTGGACTGGAACCTTATATGGCTAGAGGATCCTCATTCCTTGGTCTGTAAAATGTTGTAATACGTCTAACTATTCAAGATTCTGTTCTTAGTAAGGAGTGGGATTGACTGAGAACACACACAAAACACTTTGTGCTTTAGTTTTATTAGGAAATGACATACATTTGATTGCGGTTGTCTATATTTTAGATACAACTTATATAATTAGGATGTTCACTCCCAGAAGAATCTAGGAATTTGATTTTCAGACAATCTAACCTTATTCCGTAATTTAACTTTCTGTGCCAAGTTTCAATAATGTCATTCAATGCGTTCAATTATTTTGTTATTTTACTTTGAACTATTGAAGTGTATGCAAGAGCTGATGTATGTTCTTTCTAGTATGTACTTTTGGCTTTCGACTAATAACTAGCTGACAACTGCTGTTAGTAACTGCTGTTTTGGTCAAAAGCTGCAGTATGGCTAACTAGAAATAGAGCCTATCAATGAACATTGAAACCTTTGGACCCAGTAGATGTGGTTCAACCCTGTAACCTTCACTCACTTTCACAGTATATAAATGGAATAATAACATAAATAGTTTTTTTCTGCATGAAGAGAGATTTAATCCCATGTAATTATTTTGCAACTTGTTCTAGGAACTAGAGAATTTATACCCATTGTCGTGTTAACCAGAAGCATGTCACGCAGTGGAGAGCAACACAACCTCACAAGTACTTTAGCTAATGGGGTAGACTTCTTTCTGCAGCACTGCTTACTTCACAAGCAGTATTGTAGGGAACCCAATCTAAACGATGTAACACTGGATGTTGGGAACATGTCAAAGTTGGTGCATGACCACATAGTATTTGAATAAAGAAAGTTTGCTCCTAGAAAAGCATTTCAATTCATGGAGCATCACCTCAAAAAATGATCATGCAGTTAGCCCCTGAATCACTTAATACCCAGTTTAGCGTTAAGCCATACATGAACATGGAGTCTTTAACATCAAAGAGTCAATGAAATATTTTCCATGTTTTACTTTGTGATGCACAAAGTTTGATAACATTTCTAAACAGTTGCATGATTATACTATGCCAAAAGGTTTACCATTAAAATATTTCTCTGTTTATTTCATGTTAAACTTGTTGTCAATTTATTTACAGCAAGGAGTTACCAACATAGTCACATGGAGTTAAGCTGAAAGGGGGATAGTTTGCTTTGTTCATTGGGATTATGCTCCATACCCAGTTAAATTTAAGCTTACATATATTACTGATATCATCTGTTTCATAGAAATGCTTTCTGTTAAGCTTTAATTAATTGAAATTATTCTTTTCAGGAAGGAGTGTATTCGCCCTTTTGCACCAGAACTGGAGCATGTTTGCGGAAGGCCTTTAGGACTAAAGTTTGATACGAAAACTGGAGATCTCTATATTGCTGATGCATACCTTGGCCTTCAAGTTGTAGGCCCTGCTGGAGGTTTGGCATCTCAAGTGGTCAGAGAAGTTGAAGGTCAGCCACTTCGCTTCACCAATGATATGGACATTGATGAGCATAAGGATGTGATTTACTTCACAGATTCAAGCACAATATTCCACAGAAGGTAATTTAAGCACAAAGACTTACTTTATCTCCTTAGGCTTTAGGGTTGCATCTGAAAGTGATTTGAAGTAGAATTTCCCTTTCACCAGCCACTTCAGTTTTTGTCAGAGAACAATGTGGATGGAATGGTAGGACATGACAAAAGTATGTAGCCTTCAACAGTTTAATCTGCATATTAAAATTTCAAATTTCATAAACGTAGTGTGTTCGAGAGACATTTCTTGGGATAATTTGGCATTTAAGCTCTTTCAATTTCAAACTCCAGATAACTTGTAGTCTGCTTCACTTCAATGGTCACACACATTTTGGCTCCAGATCATCTGGACCAGATGTATCAAGATTCAAAATATGAAAAAACCTGTGTAAAATATTTGATGTGTTGCCTGTAGAAAGCATCCAGTAGAAATATCTATGCAAAAGTTATATTTCGGTGTTATGGTCTTTTTTTTGCATTCTATAAGCATCAGTGTCCAATTGATTCTTCGAAAATTTGGATCCCAAATCAACACTGCCAGATTGAGTTGAAAAGGAATGCTAGCTCTTTTCTTGTTTTGTTGTTCTCTTTCGCCATCATTATCCTTTATTTCCATAATCTAAGATCTGTCTGCATTTGGATTTTATTACTCCATTGCCGTACTTAGGAATTCTTTGCTAAAATTACTTCAAAGTTTAGAATTTCATGCTTCTGTGGGCTTGCAGGCAATTCATGTCATCAGTCTTGAATGGAGACCGAACTGGCAGATTACTCAAATACAATAAATCAAACAAAGAAGTAACGGTTTTACTACGAGGTCTTGCCTTTGCCAACGGTGTTGCATTGAGCAAAGACCACTCTTTTGTGCTAGTGGCTGAAACAACTACTTGCAGGATCTTGAGGCTTTGGCTTCATGGTCCAAATGCTGGAAATACTGATACTTTTGCAGAGCTTCCAGGATTCCCAGACAACATAAGAAGGAACTCGAAAGGGGAGTTTTGGGTTGCACTGCATGCAAAGAGGGGATTTTTCGCGAAGTGGTTTGTCTCTAACAAATTGGTTGGGAAGTCACTGCTAAAGCTTCCCCTTGATTTTAAACAACTGCATTCGCTACTAGTCGGAGGGAAGGCCCATGCAACTGCTATCAAGTTAAGCGAGAGAGGTGAAATTTTGGAAGTTTTGGAAGATTGTGAGGGAAAAAATATGAGATTCATTAGTGAAGTGGAGGAGAAGGATGGCAAGCTGTGGATTGGGTCAGTTTTAATGCCATTTCTAGGCATTTATGAACTGTAGGAATTAGGAAACAAGTTTGATTTGTGAATTTCTGCTTGAGTTTCTTTTCAGCGCACATGATAGTGGATCTTTGAGTTTATTTTTTGGAATCCCTATAAATTAAATCAAAATCATTCTATAACGTTTTTCTACTTCAAGATTGATGTCAAGATAGATGACAAGTTGCTCTTGATCTAGTGGTACGTCTCTTCCTAATGTTGGAAATGTTCCAAGTTCGAATCTCCCATTCTTGATTAATAGTCTGCCCCACAAGCTAGTTCTCAGTAATTTCAGCTTCAAAATTGTCAAATAGTCCATGAAATCTTTAAGCAAAGATTAAAAGCAATTGATAGGAATTAGTTCTAATTTATGTTAAATACGGGTCATGTAACATAAACAACTACAGTAGTATCAGTATTTCAATTCACTTGCAAAGTTGGAGTGACTTCTGTTATGTAGACGCCTACATCTTTTGAAGGTTCTTTGTTTTTTCCCGTGGTCTATGGGGCTTGGGGACTTTGGCAGAATCGACCTTCGGACATTTTCAAGCATTTCCCTCTTTACAAATAACACGGACACTTCAAAAGAGTCTCAAATCTTCAGCGTGTCAACATAAATACCTCCTTGACAAAATTTCAAACGTTTTGTTTCTAGACAGGCCAGCAACTCATGAAATCGTAACATGCATTTCATCGCCAACTTCCACAAATATTTCATCCACCCTTTACAAAGAGAAGCAACAAATCAAACCTTTAAAACATGAATTTGCATCCTGGTATTTCATTTTTGTGTGACTTAAGAAACAATAATTTATGGTACGCAACTGCGCAAATGTTATCAAAATAGAAATAGAATGTCTGAAATGACCTTAGAAAGTAACCAAGATCATTCTAACCTGTCAGAATCTATGTTCACCTCTGCAAGCCATGTTGTTGGATAAACCTGCAAAATCAAATTGGTTTAGAGGTACTGAAATCCATAGCAAATATTAGGACTAATTGATATTGTCATCTCTCCAGGCAGTATATGCAGCTGCATTTAAAGTAAACATACCTTCCCCATCTATATGATATTTCCCATCTTAATCATTTTAGTTACTCTCCAAAATGCTTAGGTACTGCTAAGTTTTACTGATGATGTAAGGGATGTTTTGCATTTCAGAATGTGAGGCCTAGTGCTGATGAGAACCTCCCAGAGGAACTGAATATCATCCTAACTTTTATTGTTCGACTACAATGGGCAATTTTCTATTTCACTTAGGTAAACAACTATTTGAAAGCAAATAAGAAAACATGTTGAATCTGCATCAGTCTGAATTCTTAAGATCTGTACTGGAAATTCTTTCCATCCGAGAAAACTGATTCCATATTGTATATCCTGACTAGAAAATTCCATATGTATTGGGTAAATACGAAAATAGAGGAGAACCCTTTGAGCACAAACATATTTTACCAATAGCTTAAATCAATGGCAACCATACCTGCAAAACATCATGATCTGGCTGCTTGTTAAATCGCGCAGCTGGCATTTCAGATTTCTGATCATCCAATCTTGGATAGACTGGCTTACAAGTTTCCTCAGAGTATAAGTTACATATACTCAAATCACTAAATTCTCCCGGATAAAGCTCATCTGACCAACGCAAACTGTTTAAAGGTGGAACTTTGCAACTAATGGATAGTAACTCCACCACTAGCAAACGCTGCACAAACAAGTAATAAAGTGACAAAACAAAACAAAAATGTAACTAAGAACATGCTGAAATTACCATAGAAGCAAATAAGCAGCAACTAACCTTCAAATTTAACTCCAATATAAACATCTGGACAAGCTCCTCTGCCACTTCTTCTGAGATTGTTCAAGAATCACAGTTCACAATCATGTGGAACTTATATGACAGTAGCTTTATACATATAAAGTTTTTTTACTTTGATGCAAAATACCACAATCACTCTTTTGCTAACTCTTTTACTAACCGTACAGTACCAAGGGACAAATGTTGCTAGTAAGGCAAAGTTTGGATAGAGACCCCTCATATACTATATTCCCTTTACTTGTCCTAACCCATATTGTCTTTTGTCACTTGAGATTATTCCCTAACCTCTCAAATTAGTTATTAACAAAATGGCGAGAAACTCATCACAAAATTTGAACCTCTATATACCATGCACGTGTTCATGTAACTACGCAAGGTAAATTGGAATCTGAAAATTTTCAAGCAACAAAAACCTTCCACATTGTGACAAGATAAACATAATCTTACGAAATGACAGAGCATAATTTTGTATTTTCCTTGCATGATATCATCTAATGCTATTGTCATAAATCAAGAGTTAATTCTTGATTTTCTGCAACCACATGCTGATTGTATATATTATTCCTAAAAAGTAACAAAGATAACTCATTTGGTAGGTGCATATAGGACCTAGGGAAAGCCATTTTGAATCAAATGTGTTTCCATGACCCAATTAATAATAACTAAAAATTAATTTGAAGAACTGAACCCAAAATTAAACTGGGTTTATTCCAGTTGAGATTGTATGAATAAGAACAAAACAAATAGGCATGATCAATCAATATCATATAGAAAGACGCAGTATGGATGATCTTTAATTTAACTAACCGAAGCAAGAGATCGTCCAAAATGTAAAGACTGGAATTCCACCACCATCCCCAGGATCATTCTTATCTTCGGAATAGCCAGAAAAGTGTACAAGTGGGCTACTGCTTGCGCCTTTGAGAAAGCATTTCATGGATCTACTAATGTTAACCATGTGAATTACAACTGAGACCTGGAGATAAAACAATGCTACATCATAAAGATCCTTGCTTATTATTTAATATGCAACTCTATGTCATAAAGATGATAATCACCAGAGAAGTCAAACCAAACTTATTATTCAGTAACTTTTAGGTCCAAAGTGCTTATCTGAATCATTTTGACATGATCCTGAATGAACATTTGATGTACCAATGTGTTATTCTAAAATTAATATCCTCAATGTTTGAGTCAAAACAAGCACTATGTGCTGTCTACTTTTAGATTAGATGATACAACTCACTGATTATATAAACAATAAGAAGTCATATTGTCAAGTAGCAGCTAGATTCTAGTTTGTTATAGTCTGAGGTTGTGAACAAGTCCAACACCAGAACCAGAATTACTGTATTATTTGAAAATGTGGTCATATGATGTAAGTCCCACTCTAAAATAAGAACAGAATATTTTCCTCCTGCCAGGAGTTAAGCACTTGACAATTTGAAGACATAATAAACTAAGATGAAAAATGTTTCTAGTTCCTCATCCAATCTAATTTTTCCCAAAAGAAAAAAAGAAAATAAAGATGTGTAAATTCTAATAAAACAGGAAAAGAAAATAAGACGGTAAAAGAATAAGATGAGTACCATTTGTTTATATGATGATAAAAGTTTGCCTCCATGAAGCACCTGAAACAAAATTAAGTAAAGTAGCACAAGCTGTACACTAATCACAATACAAGAGTTGTAAAAGCAGTCAAGTAAGTAAACGCTTGCTTGTTACTGTTACCTGCTGCTTAAACAATTTCTGAGAAGCTTTCTTTTTTATATTCGGAATATCTCTCAAGGCGCCCAACTCCATGGAAGGCATGTATCTGAAAGAATCAGTAAATATGAAGCTTTTATGCAAAATTATGGATTTTTAAGCATGAAATTGAATTCCAACCATGCCCCAGAACAGCACATGGTCTCCATGATAAAAAGGCATGTATAAGTAGAGAGTGGAGAGTAGTACTTTTGAGAAAGATAGGCGTTTACAAGAGCGGTGGCATGTGATCGTGCAGTAGAAGAAGAAGATGCCCATTGTTGTCTGTAAGAAGCTAATTTGGACCATTGATTTCTCAGGTTTCTCTGTGCAGTGGGTCTCCATAGCCTTGCCAGCGGTGTCGCTAGTACTGATGACGGTGAGGAGCTTTGGGTTGGGATTTGGGGACATGGGGTTGCTGATTTTGGAGAAAGCAGAGGAGAAGAAGAAAAAGAAGAAGGGGTTTCTGGGCATAAAGTTTCTACTGTTGGGGGTTCACTTGGCTCCACCGTTGCCATTGAGTTACAGTGAGTTGGGTTGGGAGGTGGGTGAAGAATAGAAGAAGCTGTAGTGTGAATGCTATTAACCATGTTTTGATGCCCACTTTAGTTTTCAATAAAAGAAATTTTTTTATAGAAATTCCAATCGACAGATATAAGGTTATAAGTAGATGAGAGCTACCTCTCTGTCAGTCCAGAAGAACATGAAGCAAGTTCTTGATTGTCTCCTGCTGCCCTGCATGTAGTCCAAGGAAGGTGCTTACAATTTTCAGAAAGCTATTTAGTGGCGTATCCCGTATCGGATACTCGTTTGGATACGATACTCTTCGGATACGGTCCGACACGCATTAGATACGTATTGCACTAACGGATACGTGTATCCCATATTCCGGACACGAGTATTGGAATTTTCGGATACGTTCCTCCGGGCGAAGTTTGCCGTTGAGGGGCTGTTGAGGAGCCCCTGGGCGCTGCTTGTGAAGAGGGAGAGAGTGCGCGCGAGGAAGAAGAAGATGTCGACTGACCTAATTTTTATTATCTCAAGTGACGACGTCGTTTGCTAAAACAGGATTTGTAGTACATTTCTTTTACATAGATCTGTTTATGGGTTTGGGTCTTAAGCAACAGTATTAAAATGGGCTTTGGGTAATGAAATGTTTGGGTGAAAAAAGCTATACAGGCCTAAACAAATATAAAGAATCAGAAAAGAAAGCCCAAAATGCCACACCATTTATAATTTTCAATTTTTTTATTTAGAATTTGTTTTGAGTTATATATATTTTTAATAACCATATCCTAATTTTTGAAGATTTACTGTATTCCCGTGTCGTATAATATCATATTGTCGTATCCATATCAATGCTTAAATTAGCAATAAAATAAAAAAAAATTACCAGACAAACTAAAAATATGAGGTTCTTGTGCTTAACTTTACTTTTTATAATATAATGGTTGCAGTAAATAATGGACAACAAGTCCTTCAAAGTATGAGAGAGAAGAGAATAATATGTGGAGAAAATAGCAGAGAAGAACCCTATGAAAAAGATGAAAAGAACGAATGATTTTTCATGTAGAAAGCATGTTTTATTTGTTGCCAAGCCTTTATAATTAATCCCTAAACCCTATGAAAAATTAGTAATGTTGATACCAAATTTTGGATCAACATCTTAGATGATAAAATCATAATCTCAGATACATAAACATGTGTTTGAGTGTGTTTACTCATAATCAAGTTACATCCACTGATTTTATATGTACTTCACTGAGGGTATATGCATTTCTTTTGGGAGATAGAGAAACACTTGAAAGCCTCTCTTTTTTACAGAAAATCTGTGGAGAATATTGATTATAGCCCATTAACATATATACAATCTTACTTCTTTTGTTGAATATTTTTGTATCAAACTTGAAAAAGTGTGATTATTTTTTTTTTTTAAATAATGTATATGCATAAAGCTTGTTAAAAATGAATAATGAACTAGTTTGGCTGATAAGATTTTACTTAGAGTTTTATTAACGGTATGTAGACACAAAATTAGCTAATCCACCCTTTCAAAGATTCATGACTCCATCCTTTCCTATTGTAATTTTGAGATAAAACTTACGAGTTAGTGTATGTAGATTTAGGGTTGATTAAAGTTTCACTACTAGAAAAGGGGGCAATAGTCACCTTTTTGTCACTAACGTATTGTTTCTCAAAAATATTTAAGATATGAAAAAAAATTTAGCATGCAGAAAAAATTTAATCATTTTGTGGCCTGGAAGTCAATTTTGGATGCTAGACAGGTGTTGTGTGAAGGTTTGAGATGGGTGGTGGGTAATGGCGGTTTCATTCCTTTTTGGACCTCCCATTGGGTTTTGCCTTTCCCCCTTCTTGATCTCATTCCTGAGCACCAAAGAGGTTCTTTGAATCTTGATGAAAGAGTTTCAGACTTTATCATAAACAACAGCTGGGACAAAAGAAAATTATCTCAGGTTGTTGATGATGATTTGACTGAGAAAATCTTATCTATTCCTTTGCCAAGAACTAATCTGCAGGACAAATTGATCTGGGGCCCAACCCAAATGGTTCTTTCACTATCAAAAGTGCATACAACTTACAATTTCAGGACCAACCATCCCACCCTCGTGCGGGCCTACTTAAGAAAGTTTGGAAGCTCAACATTCCTCCGAAAGTGAAGATTTTTGCCTGGTTGCTCATTCGTAAAAGACTTCAAGTGAGAGCCAGGCTTCACAGATTCATGCAACATATCAGTCCGTTGTGTCCCTTCTGTCAAAGCTTACCTGAGACTATTCAGCACTTGTTTATGGACTGCCAGTTTGCTAAGGATGTGTGGGCTCTTTCTATTGATCTCATGCCCCTTCCCTCGCAGATTGGTGATCTGTACAATTGGCTTATGTCGCTGAGCACCACGACCACAAAGTCTGATTTGGACCCTCTCTCCAAAGCTCTCCTTATCTGTTGGCAAATCTGGGAGGCTAGGAATAATGTGGTGTTCCATGACTCTAAGGCCACCCTAGCTAACTGTTTTCATGCTGCTGCCTGTGTTGGTTTGGACTTTTGGAGGCTTAACTCGATGACCATATGTGGTTCAACCGATTCTATGATTATTAAGTGGCATCCTCCTCCCACCGGCTGGATTAAGGTCAATTTTGACGGGTCTCTTATGAATTCTCATGCTTCCACAGGTTTTGTCATTCGGGATTGTGAGGGGCATGTCCTCGTTGCAGCCTCTAACAATATTGGCAAAAATTCCATTAATGTTGCTGAATGTCTTGCTCTTCGTGATGGTCTTGCCGCTGCTCTTGATAGAGGATGGGATCAAATTGTGATTGAATGGGATTGTAAGCTCGTCATTGACAGTATCCTGGGTAAAGCTGACCCCCCTTGGTGTATCAAACAGATTATTCAAGATATTTGGGCCCTGTCCTCTTTTGCTACAAGCATCCGGTTTCAACACGTTTTTAGGGAAGCCAACTTCACGGTGGATACGGTTGCAAAATTAGGTCATGGTCTTTCTAATCAAGTTTTGTAGGAGTATGGGCTTCCGTTATCTGTTAAGACCCCCTTTTATTTTGAACTCTTCGGGCGCTCTTGCTCGCGAGGCTTTGTCTTGTAATTTTTCTTTTCCCTATCCAAAAAAAAAAAAAAGTATTGGTATTGGTGACAATTGAGTGGTTGGTCAATGCTTTTGTTTACTTGTCACTATTATTTGTGACTAATTTCTCACATTTTAATATTTTGGTGACAGTTGATTTAAATATAATAAATGTAAAACTAATTATTGTGATTAACACCAAAACAATAATTTTTTATGACTAATATTTGATTAGAGCCTTGCTAATAATTGTAATCAAATAAAATATTCGGTGGATTTCCCACCTCTCGTTCTCTCTCCTCAACCTCTCTTCTCCTACTTCTCAAACAAATCGAAACTTACCCCTTTTCTTTTGTTGTTTACACCATAATTAACCAAGCGTGACTAAAACACCA